CCAGGAGGCGGAGGTTGCAGTGAGCCGAGATCGTGCCATTGCACTCCAGCCTGGGTAACAAGAGCGAAACTCTGTCTCAAAAAAAAAAAAAAAAAAAAAAAAGTGCTGGGATTATGGGTGTGAGCCACCGCACCCAGCCTATTATCTTTTAAAAAGTGTTTATATTGATAACCTTGAACTTCTGGTCTCAAGTGATCCACCCACCTTGACCTCCTAAAGTGTTGGAATCACAAGCATAAGCCACCATGCTTGGCCTCTCTGCTGCCTTTCAAAAGGGTTCCACATCTTCCTGCCCCAGTGCCTTTGCACTGTCTGTTCCCTATCCTCTTCCTTCAGAGTTTCATAGGCCCATTGAAATATGTTGAAATATTTGGGATTAAATATTACCAAATCAATTTCACCTGCGTTTCTTTCTTTTTCTTTGATTTTATTATTCGATTTTCTTTATTTGATATTATTATTTGATTTTTAGGTCTGGGTGTCTTGCCCAGGTTGGTCTTGACCTTCTGAACTCAAGCAATCCTCCTGCCTCAGCCTCTCAGTGTTGAGATTACGGGTGTGAACCACCGTGCGGGTCCTGACCCCCGCAACCCCGACCTTTTTTAGGAGAGTAGGTCCCACTATGTTGCCCAGGCTGGGCCATAGCTCACTGCAGTCTCCAACTCTTGAGTTCAGGTGATCCTCCTTCCTCAGCCTCACAAGTAGCTGGACTACAAGTGCCAGCCACCACACCTGCTTTCTTTACATTTTGTTGTTTTTTTTTTTTTTTTTTTTTTTTTTTGAGACGGAGTTTCGCTCTTGTTACCCAGGCTGGAGTGCAATGGCGCGATCTCGGCTCACCGCAACCTCCGCCTCCTGGGTTCAGGCAATTCTCCTGCCTCAGCCTCCTGAGTAGCTGGGATTACAGGCACGCACCACCATGCCCAGCTACTTTTTTTTTTTTTTTGTATTTTTAGTAGAGACGGGGTTTCACCATGTTGACCAGGATGGTCTCGATCTCTTGACCTCGTGATCCACCCGCCTCGGCCTCCCAAAGTGCTGGGATTACAGGCTTGAGCCACCGCGCCCGGCCTTGTTTGTTTTTTTAAACATGGCTACTAGAAAATGTAAAATTACATAGGTGGCTGGTGCTCGTAGTTTGCATTTGATTTCTACTGAACAGCACTGCTCTAAAACATACACTCCAGGAGGGGAGGGGTGTCTGTTTGACCCAGACACTGCATCGGACTAAATCTGAGCACCTAGAACAGAGACCCAATAAAAGCTTGCTAAAGGAAGGGATCCTAAAGCAAGATGCTAATCCCTCTTCTTTCCTGTTTCCTCCCCTAAGAATCAATTTTTTTAAACTTTGAGGTATAATTTACATAAAAGTCACTCACTTAAGTGTATACTTAATGATTTTTAGAAATTTATTGAGTTGTGCAACTGTCACCATAACCCTTTCTTCCCCCCCACCAGAATCTCACTCTGTCCCCCAGGCTGGGGTACAGTGGCCTGATCATACAGCTCACTGCAGCCTTGGACTCCTGGGCTCAATCGATCCTCCTGCCTCAGCCTCCCAAGTAGCTGGGATTTCAGGCAAATGCCACCATCTCCAGTTAATTTTTTTTTTTTTTTTTTTTTTGTGAGACGGAGTTTTGCTCGTTACCCAGGCTGCAGTGCAATGGCGTGATCTCGGCTCACTGCAGCCTCCGCCTCCTGGGTTCAGGCAATTCTCCTGCCTCAGCCTCCCGAGTAGCTGGGACTACAAGTGCACACCACCATGCCCAGGTAATTTTTTGTATTTTTAGTAGATACGGGGTTTCACCATGTTGACCAGGATGGTCTCGATCTCTTGACCTCATGATCCACCCGCCTTGGCCTCCCAAAGTGCTGGGATTACAGGCTTGAGCCACCGCGCAGACCTTTTTTTTTTTTTTTAAGATATGGGGGTCTCACTAGGTACCCAGGTTGGTCTCAAACTCCTGGGCTCAAGGGATCCTCCTACTTTGACCTCCCAAAGAGCTGGGATTACAGATGTGAGCCACCATGCCTGACCCATAAAACAGCTTTAAAATATTTCCATCACCTACATAAGATCTGCCACGCCCCTTTTCCACCCCAAGCAACCACCAATCTGCTCTGTGTTCTCATTCTCCACAGATCTTCAGCACTCCGCTTTTTTTTTTTTCTTTTGACGGAGTCGCGGAGTGCAGTTGTGAGCCACCGCGACCCGCCAGCACTCTGTTTCTAAGGAATGAATTCTCTGCCACAGTTGTAAGACAGTTCAAGCTCCTTGGCCAGGCCTGGCACAGTGGCTCAAGCCTGTAATCCCAGCACTTTGGGAGGCCGAAGCCGGCGGATCACCTTAGGTCAGGATTTCAAGCCCAAGCCCATACTGGCCAACGTGGTGAATCACCGTCTCTACTAAAAATACAAAAAATTAGCCGGGCGTGGTGGCGTGCCTGTAATCCCAGCTACTCAGAAGGCTGAGGCTGGAGAATCGCTTGAACCTGGGAGGCGGAGGTTGCAGTGAGCCAGGATCGCGCCATTGCACTCCAGCCTGGGCGACAGAACAAGACCCTGTCTAAAAAAAAAAAAAAGAAAAAGAAAGAAAGAAAGAAAGGCCAGGCGCGGTGGCTCACGCTTGTAATCCCAGCACTTTGGGAGGCCGAGGCGGGTGGATCACGAGGTCAAGAGATCGAGACCATCCTGGTCAACATGGTGAAACCCCGTCTCTACTAAAAATACAAAAAAATTAGCTGGGCATGGTGGCACGTGCCTGTCATCCCAGCTACTCAGGAGGCTGAGGCAGGAGAATTGCTTGAACCCAGGAGGTGGAGGTTGTGGTGAGCCGAGATCGCGCCATTGCACTCCAGCCTGGGTAACAAGAGCGAAACTCCGTCTCAAAAAAAAAAAAAAAAAAAGAAAAAGAAAAAGAAAGAAAGAAAAGAAAAGAAAAGGAAGACACTTGTTGGCCAGTCAGCACCGGGGCTCACCGCCCTTCCAAACACAGGGGCCCCAGATGCCTCAGCCTTTCCCCAAAGAAGGGAGGAACAGGCCGGACGTGGTGGCTGTCACCTGTAATCCCAATGTTTTGGGAGACAGGGGCAGGAGGGCCGCTGGAGCCCTATCATTAGCTGGGTGAGGCGGCGCCCGCCTGTGGTTCCTGCCGCTCAGGAGACCGAGGCAGGGCGATCGCTTGAGCCCCGCAAGGGGAGGGTGCGGCGAGCCGTGATCGCGGGGGGCGGGGGGTGGGGGGACAGGGAGAGACCCTGTCTCTGAAAATAAAATTGAAAAAAGAAAGGGAGGAGCAGCTCGCCCCACATCTCCCCCACCCACCCGGGGTCAGAAGAGGCCCCCAGAGACCCCAGCGCTGGCGACAGACTCCCGGAAACAGACGGTGCGGCCTCCCCAGCACCGCGACGCTGCTCAGAGAAGCCCTCCGGGGGAATGGGAGCACCCACCCCGCGGCCGCCACCGCGTTCTAACGCCGCCCGCCAGGAACAATGGCCGGAGCCGAGCCTCGCCGGACTCTCGACCTCGGGGTGCGGGTCCTGGGGACCGGCCCCTCCCCCCGCCACCCCTCCCTGGCTCCCTCTTCCCACTCTCCGCCCTCAACCGCTCTCCTCCCAAAATGGCGACCAACCGCCTCCTTTCCCTCCCGCGGCAAGCCCCGCCCTCTCGTTGGCCCCGCCCCCGGGGAAGCCATCGAGAGCGCGCGTCCAGGCGGCACGCGCCGGGAACCCGGGCGTCGCGCGGCGGGCGCGAGTCCGCTCTAGGAGGCGCCAGGCGGCCCGCGGTCACGTACGCGCGCCCGCGCCGCGCGTGAGCGAGGAGCTCCGGGGGTGGGCCGGGCTGCGCGTGCGCGCCGGGCAGGCGGCGCGGGGAAGGCAGGAGGCCGCTGGGAGCCCCGCGAGGCGCGAGGCGCGAGGCCCGGCGCGCGAGCCCCCGGGGCGGGTAAAACCCGGTTCCTGCTGCCCCTGCCCTTCCCTTTCCTCCCTATCCCCCATTCCCATTCTTTCCTCTTTTTTCAACCCCTCCCCCCCTTTTTTTACAATCTCATTCGTTTCTTGATTTCTTTTTTTAGCGGGCCCCATCTCCCTTTTGAGGGACGCAACAGGCGCGGCGGGCGCCCCTCGCCCCGCGTCACGCACGCACTCTGCACCCCAACAGCTCCGGGCCCCGCTGCACCCCGCAGCCCCTTCGCCCTTGGAGAAGACCTTCCTCAGAAGCCCCTGGCCCGCTGCACCCGCTTTTCCTTCCCACTCCGTCCCCCCAGGCCTCAACTGCCCCCTGGCAGCCCCGCCCAGCTCGCGCCGCGGGCCCTACCCGACCTCCACACCTTCTGCATCTCGGCCTTGCATTCGCTGGCCCCTTCCAGGCCCCTTCTGCTCAAAGTCCCGCTTCCTCCTCCATAGTCCCATTTTGGGGCACCTTGCTGTGTCTCTTTTTAGGATCTTCCAGCAAAACTCCAAATCTCTCCTCTCTTCCTTGACATGCCCCTCCCCCTCCTTTAAGAAACTTCCTTTAGCGCAAAAAAAGTAAAAAAAAAAAAATCCAGTTTTGTTTTTTTTTTTAATCCATTCGGGATTCAGGATCACTTTCCCGCAAACTTTTTTTTCTTCACACCTAGCGTCCCCCTTTTTGGAATATCTTTCCACTTAGAACAAACCAACTAATTCCTTCTAGTTTCTCTCTTGTCTAAGATTTATTTTTCCAGTCCGCCTCCCCTTCCCCGAACTTTCCAGCAAGTACCCTTCTTTTATCACTATTTCTGCCCTAATTAAGCTTCCCCCAGAAAAACTCTCTAGGTCTCTTCCCAAGGGGAAAAATAAGGAAAGAAGGAATAATTATTTCCTCTTACCAAAAAAACCTTTTCTACCCACTCAGCTCTCCCCTGTTGGTATTGCTGTCTGTCTTTTTCCAAAAATTGTTGCTCTCCCCAAGTTTCACATCTGTGTTCTTGTTTCTTTTGGGACCCAAGTCCTGACTCCTTCCTTTCCAGCACCTGCTTTCAGGGCAAAAGAAATTGGGTCCTGTATGTACTACCCAGCGTTCCGGGAGGACATATCCAATGGTCTGATTGTCACCTGATCCACCTCCCTGTGGGGCCTAAACTGGGTCCTCCGGTTCCCTGGAGATTCGCTCACTTGCTCTTCTGGTGAGTTTCCTTCCTTTGCGCATAACCAAAGTCACCTGCTTTGTTGGATAGATCTTGTCCTTTCTCGAGGGTTTCTAAGCAATCCCAAAGTCTGTACTAATGGCGAAACCATACAAGTTACTGCTTTGGAGAAGTCAGGTAGGGAAAAGGGCTACTTATTGTGCATGTTGACCTGTTAGGAGGAGTAAAGACATAGATTGATGTGTGTTTGGTTTGTTTCTTTCTCTCCTTCCTTCCTTCCTTCTTTCTTTCTTTTTGCTTTTGACGGAGTTTTCGCTCTTGTTGCCCAGGCTGGAGTGCAATGGTACAGGCTTGGCTCACTGCAACTTCCGCCTCCCAGGATCAAGTGGTTCTTCTGCTTCAGCCTCCTGAGTAGCTGGGATTACAGGCATGCACCACCACACCTGGCTAATTTTGTATTTTTAGTAGAGATGGGATTTCTCCATGTTGGTCAGGCTGGTCACAAACTCCCGACCTCAGGCCCACCTCAGCCTCCCAAAGTGCTGGGATTACAGATATGAGCCACTACACCGAGCTTGATGTGTGTTTCTTTATTGATGTTTAGTGCAAAAAAAAGTTCTTCCTTCCCTAGCTCAGGGCAGCAACTCAGATACTTACAGGTAAGGCACAAGTAAATGGAAGAAGTAAGAATTGTGGCGAACCAAAGATTGTATGTCCCATCTAAGTGTTGCCAGCCGGTGGAAATGCCAGGCCAGTGTTGCCAGAACTTGCAATTCCTTTGAGAAGAGGCCAGAAAACTATCCATAGGTAAAACCTTCTGGTTTTTAAATACTAGCAACACATTTGATATTTTAAGACAGAGTGAGATCCTATATCAAGAAGAAAGGAGAGGAGAGGGGAGGGGAGTGGAGGGGAAGGGAGAGAAAGGAGACAAGAGGAGAGGAGAAGGTTCTTGCCTGTAAGCCCAGCACTTTCCGAGGCCTAGGTAGGAAGATTGCTTGAGTCCAGGAGTTGAAGACCAGCCTGGGCCACAGAGTGACACCCCTCCCCACCATGTCTACAAAAAAATTAAAAATCAGCCAGGTATGGTGGTACACACCTGTGGTCCCAGATACTCAGGAGGCTGAAGCAGAAGGATTGCTTGATGTTGGGAGGTTGAGGCTGCAGTGAGCCATGATCACACCATTGCACTCGGGCCTCAGTGACAGAGCGAGACTCCAACTCGGGGTTGGGGGGGGGATAAAAAATATATATGTATATGTATACACACACACACACACATATATACATATATATATGTTAACATGTATATCTGGAGTGGGAAAATAAGGAAATTGTAGGCCAGGCACAGTGGCTTGCGCCTGTAATACCAGCACTTTGGGAGGCTGAGGCTGGTGGATTGCTTGAAGGCAGGAGCTTGAGGCCAGCCTGACCAACATGGCGAATCCCTGTCTCTACTGAAAATAAAAAAATTAGCCGTGCGTGGTGGTGCATGCCTGTAAGCTCAGCTACACAGGTGGCTGAGCTGGGAGAATCGCTTGAACCTGAGAGGCAGAAGTTCAGCGAACCAAGATCATGCCACGCCACTCCACTCCTGGGCAAAGAGTGAGACCCTGTCTCAAAAAATAAAATAAAATAAAGAAAATTGTATAGCTAGGGTGAAAGCTGCAAGTCTCTCCTCTCAACTCCCAAGCACCTGCTGTTACTCAGACTTGATGACCCTCTCCCTGGTGACATGGATGCAGAGAGAGAAGGGAGAAGGTGGTGCTTGGGAGGTGCGGGGAATGGCAGCAGAACAGAGGTTGGAGCTTTTCGAAGAGGAAAAGAGGTGGCACAGTGAAACTCTGTCACTCATGAATGGAAAGGATGCCGAGAGCCTTCTGTGATCAAGGTTCTGTGCTGGGCAAGATACTGTAAGAGGTTTAGACACCTAAGGCAGACTCCCAGCAATCCTAGAGCTCAGAGTCGGGGGGAAATAGGAAAACTAAAGATAATGAACTTCCTAGATCATTTAGAATACATGTCAAGTGGATTGTTACACAAGTGCTTATCGGGGTTCAGAGGAGGGAGAAATCATCTCAGACTTTGTTATGTTGGGAGTGTTCTCTATAGCAGAGGTGACATTTAAGCCTGAGTTTGGAGGGTCATAAACTCAGATGCCTCCAGAGGCCTGGCAGGGCATAGAAATCAGTGACAGTGTGAGAGAAAAGGGAGTGGTGGGGTCTGTGGCAAACTGGAGAGTTGCATGCCCTGTCTAAAAGCTGCAGCTTCTCAGCTCCAGCCAATTGTTGCCTTGCAGGAATGTGGACTCAGCATTGACAGATCTTCTGATTTTTTTCTTTCAGATTTTTAAACAGAAGTTGGAAAGCCTAACATGAATGAGAAATCTCTAGATTTACAGTGTCTGATGTGATTGCCATTAGTCACTTGTACCTGTTTAAATTTAGCTGTCCAGGCGTGGTGACTCACACCTGTAATCCCAGCACTTTGGGAAGCCAAAGCGGGCGAATCATTTGAGGTAAGGAGTTAGGGCGGATCATCTGACGTAAGTTCGAGACTAACCTGGCCAACATGGTGAAACCCCATCTCTATTAAAAATACAAAAATTAGCTGGGTGTGGTGGTGGGCGCCTATAATCCCAGCTACTCAGGAGGCTGAGGCAGGAGAATCACTTGAACCTGGGAGGCAGAGGTTGCAGTGAGCTGAGACCGAATCACACACTCCAACAAGGGTGACAGAGCAAGACTGTCTCAAAGTAAATAAATACATAAATTTAAATTTAACTAAACCTAAATAAAATAAGGAGTTTAGCTCCTCAAGGGTGTTAGCTGCATTTCTGTGTTCAGCTGCTGTATGTGGCCAGAGACTGAGGTATTGGGCACTGCAGGCTTAGTAGCACAGGAAGTGCTTCTGGATAGTGATGTTCTACTGCTCTATCCGTCTATTTTTCTATTATTTAATTTAATTAATTTATTCATTTTTGAGATGGAGTCTGGCTCTGTTGCCTAGGCTGGAGTGCAGTGATCTCGGCTCACTTCAACCTCCCCGTCCCAGGTTCAAGCAATTTTCCCGCCTCAGCCACCCAAGTAGCTGGGACTACAGGCGTGTGCCATCATGCCCAGCTAATTTTTATGGTTTTGGTAGAGACGAGGTTTCACTGTATTGGTCAGGCTGGTCTTGAACTCCTGACCTCAGGTGATCCACCCACCTTGGCCTCCCAAAGTGGTGGGATTACAGGTGTGAGCCACCGCACCCAGCCCCATCTATTTTTCAACTGGATAACCCATTGAAACATATTTAAATATCTTGCAGACTAAATAAAATACATTTGTAAACCAGATGGGACATTCAGATTGTTCCCTCCCCTCCAAACACCACCACAGTAAATATTATTTACCTATTGTGGACTTATTTCTACAGTGTAGAACCTTCTGGTAGGTTCCTTTCCCAAAAGGCTGTAGCATTGTAGCATTTCATAGGAGAATCCTTTGATTCCCCTGACTCCCACCAGTCATGGACTCCCACCTTGTTTTTTTTTTTCCAGATGGAGTCTCACTCTGTCACACAGGCTGGAGTGCAGTGGCACAATCTCAGCTCACTGCAACCTCCGCATCCTGGGTTCAAGCAATTCTTGGGCCTCAGCCTCCCAAGTAGCTGGGATTACAGGTACCCACCATCCCACCTGGCTAATTTTTTTTATTTTTAATAGAGATGGGATTTCACTATGTTGGCCAGTCTGGTCTTGAACTCCCAACCTCAAGTGATCTGCCCGCCTTAGCTTGTCAAAGTGCTGGGATTACAGACATGAGCCACCATGGTGGGCTAATGGCCTTTTTTTAAAAGAAGAAAAATTAAAATTGTTTCAGATCTGCAATGTTGACTTAAATTGTTTTAAAACTATTAAATAAGGCATCAATGATGACAGAACAAGGTGTAAGTTCCTAAAGTGTACAGCTCCTATGCAGCTATAAAGCCAAAATCAATTTGCAAATTAGATACAAACAAAGCAACCAAACCAGTATAATTTGAATTGCAAACATTAATTTAATGAGAGGGATGCCGTTTCCTGTAACTTAACTGCTCCTTGAAACAATTACTTTGCTCACTGCCACCCTGGGCCCTTTTGGGCTTAGCAGGCCCTGTGAGGTCTCAATTCTCCCATCCCTTATCTGAGTTTGAATTGCAGCAAAACCTCCATTTGTACGGTGATGCCAGCTGGCCTCTAGTAGCGCCCAAAGGCATTATTATAAGCAAAAATCCCCCTCCATCCTCTCCTCGTTAGCCTGAAGCAATTAAAGTAGTCCTTTTTGGCAAGAGTGCCATTGTAAACACACCTAGGCATTGAAACCACATGATAGTACTCAGTTACAAGGGAGTCCTCTAATGATCCAGATGTACTGCGTTTTTCCTTTCTTTTTTCTTTTTTAAAATTTTTATTTCCAGAGATTTTTGGGGAATCGGTGGTATTCGGTTTCATGAGCAAGGTCTTTAGTGGTGATTCATGAGATTTTGGTGCACCCATCACTCGAGCAGTATACACTGAACCCAATTTGTAGTCTTTTGTCCCTCACCCCCTCCCACCCTTTCCCCCAAGTCCGCAAAGTCCATTATATCATTCTGATGGCTTTGCATCGTCATAGCTTAGCTCCCACTTATAAGTGAGAACATAAGATGTTGGGTTTTTCCATTCCCGAGTTACTTCACATAGAATAACTGTTAGTCTCCAGTTCAATCCAGGTGGCTATGAATGCCATTATTTTGTTCCTTTTTCTTGCTGAGTAGTAGTCCATTGTGTATATTTCTTTATCTACTTGTTGATTGATTGATTGCTGGGTGAGCATTTGGGCTGGTTCCATATTTTTGCAATTACAAATTGTACTGCTTTAAACATGCATGTACAATGATCGTTTTTGAATAGTGACTTCTTTTCCTCTAGGTAGACACCCAGTAGTGGGATTATTGGGTCAAATGGTAGTTCCACTTTTAGTGCTTGTAGGACTCTCCTACTGTTTTTCACAGTGGTTGTACTAGTTTACATT